GGAGGTGTGCTGCAATTTAGCCATTGGCAGCATGGCCTCTGCTGCTGGTATTCCTGGGTATGGGGCTGGTAAAAAAATGGGCTGAGGTCGTAGCCCAGCCCTCTATGCAGGCCTTAGGTGACAAACCAGATGCCGAAGTAGTCCATCAGGCTGAATGTTTTGGAAGAGCTCTACCCAAAGCAGTCTGAAGGGGCTCTGCAGATGAAGAGATGAAACTAAGGTCATAACAGGGACGGATGGGGTAAAGAGCTGAAGGGACAAGTGAGATACATATGCAGGCCACTGGCCAGGGGAATCCAGAGAAATGGAATAAGAAGGTAGGAAGCTGTAAGTGGAATACAACACCTGCTGCATGCTACTAGCTTGGACTAGGTTTTCTTAAAGTTACCTCATCTGGCTAGATTTAGAGTGTCTAGAAAACCAAGACTGAAGCTCAGATATATAGATTGAACTTATACAGTACACTTAGAAATGATGTAATTGCTAAAGTTTCCACTTTTTATTTAATTTCATTTGAAAATATTTTAAATTTGTGTAGTTGATTTACAATGTTGTGTTAGTTTTTTGGTGTACAGCAAAGTGATTCCATTTTATATATATATATATATATTCTTCATTTTCTTTTCCCTTATGGTTTATTGTTGGATATTGAATATAGTTACCTGTGCTATGTGTTGTAGGACCTTATTCTTATCCATTTTAGGTATAGTAGTTTGTATCTGCTAATCCCAAACTTCTAATTTATCCCTCCCCAGCCCCCTTTCCTTTGTTTCTATGTCTGTGAGTCTGTTTCTGTTTTGTAGATCAATTCATTTGTGTCATATTTTGGATTCTACATATAAGTGATATCTTGTATCTGTCTTTCCGAACATTCACTTAATATAATAATCTCTGAGTCCATCTATGTTGCTGAAAATGGCATTGTTTCATTCTTTTTTGTGGTCAAGTTGTATTCCTGTGTGTGTATCACATCTTTATCCATTCGTCTGTTGATGAACATTTATGTTCCTTCCATGTCTTGGGTATTGTAAATACTGTGAAGCTTAAACTGTAGTTAGAAGTCTTGGGATCCAATTCCAGATCTGATAACATGACTTTTGGCAGATTAATCTCTCTACATCCCTGTACCCTTCAGTAAAGAGCTTCAGATGGTTCTTTTAAGGGTTTGTAAAGTTCATATCACTATAGTTAATCAAAAACTGAAGGCATGTGGCCGCCCTGGCTAATAGCAGCACACTAATTCCAGACCACATGGCATTCACTGAGGGGGCTGAGCCTGTTGATGGCTTGCCTTCCTGATAAGAAAGAATTCAGGGACTGGCAAGCTGGCCTGCATGTATGAGTCACAGCTGGCAAAAGGGGTTTGGGGAACCAGCACCTAATGTGGATGGTGGGTTGGGAAGTAGAACCAATTGGAAGGTGCTCCAGAGTATCTGGGAACTTTTGTTGTATTTTAATCACAATATAGGGGAAATATCCATTCACATTTTCCTCCTTATCTAGAAAATAATATCCTTTCCCAGGGGTATGGGTATGCCCACACCCATGCACATACTTCAGAACCAAAGGTCACAGACAGACTAATTTTCCTTCTACCGGGTACCCTCTGGCTTGTATTACCTTCTCTGATAGCCTCACACATGAACATCTGATCTTTGAAATGCAGTCCAGACTTTCCAGTTTGAGAATGTTTGCAGCTCTCCTATGGTTTACATGTTTAATTTTTGTTATTGCTGTGTCCATGGAAGTAACTACAGTTTTCTTTCTCTCTGTGACTGCAGCATTAATACTCTTAGTCTGTATTAGAAGATGCCCTGATTTAAATTAAGTTGAATGCTGGGCTGAGTGTGAATCACAAGAGTTCCTCCTACTCTTAAGTCTGGGGCTCCAGTGAAAGAGCCCATCCTCACAGCTTGAGAACAGGAAAGGTATGTCACACCACGCAGACCCTCTCCTCCCCAGACTTCTTAATTTCTCCTGCTCCACTCCTCACACCACATTCTGATAGTTCCTTCAATGCTATTTCCTGCCTCTGCACAGGCTCTTTCCTCTGTCCACAGTGGCCTTGCCTCTTTCACTCCTAATGACCTCCTCTTCAGCCAAAATGGTCCAGCTCAAGACATCTTTATGGTCCTCTCTATAGACCTCAGTCCCCTCAAAGTTAGCCCTTCCCTCCTCTTTGCTCCTACACATTTTACACATATCTCTGTTGTTCAGCTTCTCATGTTGTAATAATATCTCCTGCTGTGAGCTCTTTGAAAGCAGAATATGTGTCTTCCTCGTGGTATCTCTATTACCAGAATCTGTCACCAGTGCCTGGCACTTGTCTGATACACATTAAAAATATATGGATGACAGACATAGAAGACAAACATGGTTACCAAAGGGAAAGGGGAGAGAAATAAACTGGGAATTTGGAATTAACAGACACACGCTATCATATATAAACAAGGACCTACTATTGGAACTATATTCAATTAGAATAACCTATAATGAAAAAAATCTGAAAAAGAACATATATAAATATGTATAACTGAATCATTTTGCTATATATTTGAAACATTGTAAATAAACTATACTTCAATTTAAAAAAATAAAGGAAATATTTTTGTGTATGGTGAGAGGGTGTACTCTAACTTCCTTGATTTCCATGCTTTCAACTTCCCAAACACCACTTGCTAAAAAGAGTGTTTTTTCACTTTGTATATTCTTGCCTCCTTTGTCAAAGATTAACTGAGCATGGGTGTGTGGGTTTATTAATATTTCTGGGCTCTCTATTCTGTTCCATTTACCCATATGTCTGTTTTTTGTGCCAGTACCTTGCTGTTTTGATTACTGTGGCTTTGCAGTATTGTCTGAATTCAAACTGGCTTGAAGACTTAAACATAAGACCTGACACCATAAAACGCCTAGAAGAGATCATACACAAAACATTCTCTAACAGAAATCATACAAAAGTTTTCTTAGGTCAGTCACTCAAGGCAGTAGAAATAAAAACAAAAATAAACAGATGTGACCTAATCAAAATTACAAGCTTTTGCATAGCAAAGGAAACCATAGACAAAAGAAAAGACAGTGTATAGAATAAGAGAAAATATCTGCAAACATTGTGACCAACAAAGGCTTAATTTCCAAAATATACAGCTTATGCAACTCAACAACAAAAAAACAACCCAATCGAAACGTGGACTGAAGAACTAAATGACATTTCTCCAAAGAAGACATACAGATGGCCAATAGGCACATGAAAAGATGCTTAACATTGCTAATTACCAAGAAATGCAAGTCAAAATTATGATGAGGTACCACCTTCTAACAGTCAGAAGGGCCATCATTAAAAAGTCTACAAATAACAGAGAGGATGTGGAGAGAAAGGAATCCTCCTTCACTGTTGGTGGGAGGGTAAGTTGGTGTCAGTCAGTCAGTCAGTTCAGTCGCTCAGTCATGTCCGACTCTTCGCAACCCCATGAATCACAGTATGCCAGGCCTCCCTGTCCATCACAAACTCCCAGAGTTCACCCAAACCCATGTCCATCGAGTCGGTGATGCCATCCAACCATCTCATCCTCTGTCGTCCCCTTCTCCTCCTGCCCCCAATCCCTCCCAGCATCAGGGTCTTTTCCAATGAGTCAACTCTTCGCATGAGGTAGCCAAAGTGTTGGAGTTTTCAGCTTCAGCATCAGTCCTTCCAATGAACACCCAGGACTGATCTCCTTTAGGATGGAATGGTTGGATCTCCTTGCAGTCCAAGGGACTCTCAAGAGTCTAGCCACTGTGAAAAACCATATGGAGTCTCCTCAAGAAAACTAAAAAAAGAACTAACATATGATCCAGCAATCCCACTCCTGGGCATTTATCCAGACAAATCTCTAATTCAAATAGATACATACACTTCTGTGTTCATAGTAGCATTGTTCACAATAACCAAGACATGGAAGCAGCCTAAATGTCCATAAACAGATGCATGGGTAAAGAAGATGTGGTAAATATATACAATGGAATGTTACTTGACCATAGAAAAGAATAAAATAATCCTGCACCTAGAGATTGTCATACTGAGTGAAGTCAGTCAGACAGAGGACAGATACATCATATGACTTCCCTTATATGTGGAATCTAAAAAGAATTGATACAAATGAACTTGGTTACAAAACAAAGAGACTCAGAGACTTAGAAAATGAACTTACGGTTGCTGGGGGGCAGGGAAGGGATAGTCAGGGGGTTTGGGATGTGTGTGTACACACTGCTATATTTACAATGGACAACCAACCAGGAACTACTGTAGAGCACATGGAGCTCTGCTCAGGGTTATGTGGCAGCCTGGCTGGGAGGAGAGTTTGGGGAAGCATTGGATACATTTATGTATATGGATAAGTCCCTTCGCTATTCACCTGAAACTTAAAACATTGTTAACTGGCTATACCCAAAAGCAAAATTTAAAAAAATAAAGTAAAAAAAGAAGCCGACATGGCACATATATGCAATGGAATACTACTCAGCTTTAAAAAAAGAATGCAGTAATGCTATTTGCAGCAGCATGTATAATGACTAGAGGTTATCATGTTAAGTGAGTCAGACAAATATCATACGATGTCATTTATATGTGGAATCTAAAATATGACACAAATGAATCAATCTATGAAGCAGAATCATGGACATAGAGAACAGACTGGTGGTTGCCAAGACGTGGAGGACAGACTGGTGGGGTTGGGAGAGGGATGGAGTGGGAGGTTGAGGTTAGCAGATGTAAACTTTTCTATATGGGATGGATAAGCAACAAAGTCCTGTATAGCACAGAGGACTATATTCAGTGTCCTGTGATAAACCATCATGGAAAAGAATACTTTAAAAAGAATGTGTAACTGAATGGCTTTGCTGCTTAGCAAAAATGAAGACAACATTGTAAATCAACTGTACTTCAATTAAAAAGAGAAAACTGAAATAAAACATATTCATATGAATGAAAACCAAAGCATTATTTTTGTTTCTTTTTCCTACAGAAACGATGACTGTGGGTAAGAGGACCACTTATGTCAAGAACACAATAGGACAACCATCTTACAGAGATCTTCAGTAACTTTTCCCATCCAACAACATCCAGATGACTCTAGTGACCAAATGCTCAGCTGTAAACACAGCAATAACTGGCCCTCTTCCCAGGTTGGGTTTGCTAAACGTGAATGGTCCAGCTGTCTTCAGGTGGCCTAAGGTGGTGTGCTGCAGGGGAAGCACATCTCTTTTGGCCAGGAATCAAGACTGGACTACGGAAGAAACCACCTGACACAGAATACTCAGAGCACCTAGAGTGCCAGGACTCGTAGTGATTAACACAAGGCCCTTGGTGATGGGTTCACAGCAGCTGCCTTGGCAGCATCACTCTGACATGGTGTTATTTGCTGGAAGGCCCTGGAATGACAGAATATCTTAAAATCTATCCAGGTGCTAAGTAGGCAGCAGATCTAATTCATACTGGACTACTACTGAGCTAATAACTATCTCCAGAAAATAATTTCACCCAAGAAGTACTCCAGCTTTGCCCGGAATAGCCCCAGGAGAGTAAGAGGATAAGCAGGCCATTACCCTGGAAAAAATCGAGTGCAAAGCGGTCTAGTTCACAGCAAATTCACTGCCTACTCCTATGTCTGTGGCAGTGAGTACCAGTTGATTGTGGCCCTCTCTTCTGCTAAACCCAGAGTCAGAATCCCCAGCACTATTTTCAGAATAGCCAGCAGCCACTTCCTTTCAACTGGTATTGGCAAGTAGAATGAACATTCATTGTCATCCCTGTTAGAGAGGCATGCATCTCAATGGCATAGGCATTTGGAATACCCTTTCCCAGGTACATTTGTCTTCCGAGGGAAGAGCCTCAGAAACAGATGTACCATTGAGTGAGCTGAGTTTGTGAAGAGGTGACACAGCTGGTCCCTGATTGAAGGCACAGCTTTTGGGGCCTTCTTGGCCTGAGTGCCTTCTGGGTATTTCCATATGCAACAGTCCAGAGGCATAGCCTTGGGCAGCCACAGACAGGTTTCCTTTCATTTCCAGACACATATATCACATTCACAGCACTTGGGGAATGGAAGTACCTACTAGAGTGAAGGTCAAGGGCTCTCCCTGGGTGTCACGTCCATTACTCAGCTTCCTTTGTGACCACATCAGCCAACCCACTGCCAGCTGTGTCCCACATCCTCCTTGCTTCTGCTTCTATACAAATGAAACCAAAGGTCTCGGCATGCCCTGGGGCTGGGGGTATTACCTTTATTCCCCAACATGGGTGTAAGGTACCCCGCCCATACATTTGCCCATACATTTCTCCAAGACAGCATTTCCCTTTCATATAGTCTCTTTGCAGCAGAATCCATAGTGTGACTGTAGTTTACCTTCCTGGGAAACTCATTATTTTCATTTGAATTAACATTTCCATACAGGATTAACTGGGTAGAAGCATGAACTAGGCAGGTCTTCAGAAGGTTCTTGTTGCCATGGCTGCCTGGTACAAGAAGCTACCTTGATGTCAAATCTTAAAAGGCTGGAGACCTTTGGTTGTATGAAGCAGTGTTACTATGTTCCAGCTTCACATGTTCCCCAGCCTGTGTATTCCATTTCCATCTCTGATTGGCTTTCAACCTCAAAGATCGTCAGGGAACCCAGGGTTCTGCCTATGTCTGTTGACATGAGAAGAATTCGATTTCTTTGCCCAAGGTTCCCCTCTGCCTATTCCTCCACGTTCAGACATCTTCCATCCTACCAGTGTTTAGAACCAAAGCATGAAGGACTAATGCCAGCAAGATAGTCAGCCTAAACATTATCTCTAGATCGTGGCAGATGAGCCCAAAAAGCTGGTCCCAGAGAAACCAGACTGGCCCCAGTAGATATCAGGCAGCCATCCCAATAAGCTTTGACTTGTCCTTGGAATGGGGAGCCTTGGTAGGAGATCCTGGGGCAGCTGAGCCTATTGTTCCCCTGCTCTCAAGATCTTCCTGCCTTGAGGACTAGCAGCCCTATGGTACTTTTGAGTATGCCACTGGCTTGCTGGTATGAAATAGAAGGTGACTTTAATAGGGGCCAGCAGGCAAGTGGCTTGTATCTGGAAAGCTTTGCCTAGCAGTCCAGCTGTGGCCAGAGGCTGGTCAGAAATGTGAACTCCCTGAGCCCGTCTGCCGCTCTGCCTCTGTTCCCTTGTATTCTGTTTGGTTTCCCTTTAGTTTCCTAGTAAATGTTCCTTTTGAAAAATTCCAACCTTGTTTCAATGAACTTGGGGGGAAGGGGAGTCTCCATTGCCTTTTCCAGGAAAGAGAAGGAAGTTAAAGTATCATCTTGAAAAAAAAATGGTAATGTCAGTGGAAAGGGGTACACCCTGGTTAGATCTTTGGAAGGCCTTCAGAAAAGCTGGTTCCAAGAGATGAGGAGAAACCAAGTGTCTCCCTCTGCCACCTGGCCCTGATTCTCAGCCCATTCCTCTTGCTGCCTTTGTCTTCAAGAAGACCTGACTTGGATGCCTGTTGCTGCAAAAGCATCATCGTAGCCAGTGAAGTGGGCACATTTCACAGGCAATGTGATATCCAGGAATCACATGGTGCATGATGAGAGGAGAAATAATGGAGGGAGGGAAAGGACTATTTCTACAGTGTGGATATTTTCAAAACACTCCAACAGTCATGACTCTAAATGGGATGATTTAGTCCTCATGGCCATCGGTAGAACTACATTTCATATGAAGAGAAGAAAGGCATACTCTCATACTTAGGTCTGGAGAAGGCAATGGCACCCCACTCCAGTACTCTTGCCTGGAAAATCCCATGGACGGAGGAGCCTGGTAGGCTGCAGTCCATGGGGTCGCGAAGAGTCGGACATGGCTGAGCGACTTCACTTTCACTTTTCACTTTTATGCATTGGAGAAGGAAATGGCAACCCACTTCAGTGTTCTTGCCTGGAGAATCCCAGGGATGGGGTCGCACAGAGTCGGACACGACTGAAGTGACTTAACAGCAGCAGCAGCATACTTAAGTCAACGAGACTGACAAAAGATAGATATGCAAAGTGTCTTATCTTCATGGCCATCCTATCCAACGATAGTGGGTGTTCCAAGTATCTACTGCTGCATAGCAAAGCACTTCAAAGCTTTGAGTTTTAAAGAGCAAGTCATTATCTTTCATGATTCTGCGGGTTGGCAGAGTTCAGGTGACTGCTCGCTCTTGGAGTCTTGGGGTTGCTGTCAGATGGCAGCTGATACTGGTATCATCTGAATCCCAGACTGGGCAGGATGTCCATAGTGGACTCTGCGTCCATTTGCGACTCCTCCATTGGGACGGCAAGCACAGCTGAAGGCTGATTGGGCCTCTCTCTGCACACAGTCTCTCCACATGGTTAGCTTGTGCTTCCTCACAACATGGAGGTCTCGAGGCAGTCAGACGTTTTACAGGACAGCTGGCTTCTCCCAGAGCCTATGTGGCAAGAGGTCCCAGTACATGCTGCAAGACTCTTCTAAATAACCTCAGAATAACACAGGGTCATTGCCACCACAGACTGTTGGTCAAGAGCAAGTCATAGGGCCAGCCTAGATTCAATGGAAAGGAATTACCGAAGAAGGAAATACGAGAAAGGGTGGCTCACCAGGGCCACTTTGGAGATGGTGCGGATTGGAGTGGAGGGGGAGGGATTCCTGGATTGCTGTCACTTTAAAAACACATGCATTACTTAACATGCATGAAGGGGGTGTAATAAGGGGCAGAGGAGAAGGGGAAGGGCTATCCATGAATACTTCAAAAAAGCATAAGCTGAAGAAAAGTGAATAGATGTGACTGAAACAGTTGATGATGTCGTAAGAAAGCCTGGAGGAAAATTGTAGTTCTAGTGATTGTTCAAGAGTTTGAGTGGAATGCTTTTTGCCCCCTCATCTTTACTGCCAAAGTGTAAGTGCAAACAAGACATTCCATGCTCAGGAACCTAATTAGAAATGAAAATACAAAGTATATGAGCAAAGGTTGTTTGCCTCTTTTCTTAAGACTTCAGAAAGAGTTACTGAAGTTAGGAAAGAGGGAATTTATCAAGTCTAGTCTAAGAATAGCTCTGCCAGCTATCCCCTGACATGAGGTCCTCACATGGCTACTGTTGCCGTGGTGCCTTCTCCAGTCTGCCTCTGCCTGTCTTGCAGCAGTCCTGCTGTATGGAATAATCAGGGTCAGTCCACTGCTCTTCCCTCCACCCTGGGCTCCTCCTAACTCAGCCACCTTGCTAGAACTTGCAAAGTTATAGAAAGTGGTTTACTGAACTGAGAAAAGGATGTTACTGTGGATGTGCGTATGGCCAAAGACAATGTCTGCAACTTGTATGTGGATCCTGAGAATTCTGAAGGCCATTTAGCTGCCCATGGCCACCCATTTCACTGATGGTCACTGAGGGCTATGAGAGTGTCCAGCCTGGGAGGGTCTTGAATGGCCACCCACACTCAAGCCAGAGAGGATGGACACTTGCTTTGCTGTCCCATGGATGCCTGTGAAGAATCTCTCTCACACGCTAGATCCTGAGCTGCTTGGTGACACGGAGCACAATGAGAGGCTAGTGCCCAGTGAGCCCTCTCTGAGCCTCTAGTCTTCTCACTGACGGGGCCTTCCAATTCTCTTCCCCCTTCAATTCTTAGGGCCCAAGAGGGGCCATAACCCCTCACTGTCTTTTAACAACCACCTTAGACACTTTCTTAACCACAGATCCAGTGATGCCCACCACAGAGGTACTGCTTGGCACCTTATCTTCTCAGCCAGAGTAGTCATGGGCCATGTTCAGAGAATCCTAGTGTCTCTGAGATGCTCTTTCCAAAGAAGATGCATAGAAGAGTGAAGCCCTTGCATTGTAGCACAAGCTAGTCTATCTTTTGTTCAACTACATACCAAATAGGCTGACCTGCATGGAAAAAGTGAAATAGTAAAGCCCAGGGAATACAGTAATCAGAAAAACTGCCTCAGCAGTTGAGGAAATATCCCAGGGAAGGCCTGTAGAGAACTCCAAGGAA